AAGAAGGAAGAATAACATATATAAACCTTATAGTGAAAGGGGTGATGTAGTTCACTGAGATCAAACAGTAATGTGATATGAACATGAACAATGGGTCACAGAAAGGTCTGTAAAAACTATAGCTGGAGATATGAAATGTTGCAAAGTTAGTATTTCACTAGTAAAACAAGAAGACTGTTCAGTGAAGGCTGCAGGAGGCCAGGCCAGGGGCAACACCTATTTAAAAATGAGGTGTTGAACTGGTGACTCTACAATACAGGATTACAGTCATAGAGATGTATAGCATGGAAACAGACTCTTCAGTCCAACTCACCAATGCTGACCAGATATTCTCCATTAATCTAGTCCCATTTGCCCACATTTGGCCCATATTCCTCTAAACCCTTCCTATTCGTATACCCATCATTTGCCTTTTGAATGATTACCTGCATGCCAAATGGTGAAACAGCTTCCAATCTACATGGCTAAGCAATCCCACAACTAACGGATCAGATCTAAGCCCTTCAGTCCTGCCACATCCAGTCATGAATGGTAGTGGATAATGAAACAACTAACAGGAGGTGCAGGCACCACAAATATCCCCATCCTCAATGATGGTTTTGCATCAGTTCAAAAGATAAGACTGAAGCATTTGAAGAAATCTTCAGCCAGACATGCCAAGTGGATGATCAGCCTCCTCCTGAGGTCCCAAGTGTCACAGATGCCAGCTTTCATTCAATGTGATATCAAGTGATATCAAGAAACAGTGAAGGAACCTGATACTGCAAAGGCTACAGGCCCTGACAACATTCCAGCAATAGTACTGAAGACTTGTGTCCCAAAACTAGCCACGCCCCTAGCCAAGTTGTTCCAGTTCAGTTACAACACTAGCATCTACCCAACCATGTGGAAAATTACCCAGGCATGTTCCTGTAAACAAAAAACAGGACAAATTCAACCCAGCCAATTACCACCATTTCAGTCTACTCTCAATCATCAGTATTGAAGTGATGGATGAGGTCATCGATAGTTCTATCAAGCAGTGTAACTAACCTACACACTGGTGCTCAGTTTGGGTTCCTCCAGGGTCACTCAACTCCTGACCTCATTACAGCCTTGGTTCAAACATGGACAAAAGAGTTGAATTCCAGAGGTGAAGTGAGAGGAACAGCCCTTGACATCAAGTCTACATTCAACAGAGTGTAGGATCAAGGAGTCCTTTAAGAACTGGAATCAATGGGAATCAGGAAAAAGCTCTCCACTGGTTATGTCATACCTGGCATTAAGGAAGATGGTTGTGGTTGTTGGCGTTCAATCATCTCAGCCCCAGAGGACATCTGGAGGAGATCATCAGGGTAAGTGTCATAGGTTAAAACATCTTCAGCTGCTTCATCAATGACTTTCCCTCCATCATAGAAGTGGGGATGTTTGTTGATGATTGCACAATGTTCAGCAGCATTGATGATTCCTTAGTTACTGAAGCAATTCACGTCCATAAGCAAAAAGACCCGGACACCATTCAGGCTTCAGCTGATAAGTGGCAAGTAACATTCATGCTACGCATGTGCCGTGCAATGACCGACTCCAAGAAGAGAGAATCCAAACATCACTCCTTGATGTTCAATGTCATTACTATCGCTGAATCCCTCAATATCAAAACCCTGGGGGTTAACATTGACCAGAAACTAAAATGGACCAGCCTTATTAATACTATCGGTTACAAGAGCAGGTGACTGTAATGTTTAACTTTTAACTTTGTTCCTTATTTCTTTCTTAAGTTTTTGTACCTAGGTATCTGTACCTAAGATGGCACCATGAGTGGCAACATTGAAAACTTTTCACTGTGCTCCTGTACTTTTGTACTTGAGTACGCGTGACAATAAACAAAGAAACATAGAAAATAGTGACAGGAGTAGGCCATTCGGCCCTTCAAACCTGCACCTCCATTCAATGCGATCATGGCTGATCATGCCATCTCAGTATCCCATTCCTGTCCTCTCCCCATACTCCTTGATCCCTTTAGCTGCAGGGCCACATCCAGCTCCCTGTTGAATATATCTAATGAACTGGGCCCAACAGATTCCTGTGGTAGAAAATTCCACAAGTTCAAACTCTCTGAATGAAGAAATTCTTCCTCTCCTCAGTCCTGAATGGCTTACCCCTTACTCTTAGATTGTGACCCCTAGTTCTGGACTTCCCCAACATCAGGAACGTTCTTCCCGCATCTAACCTGTTCAGTCCTATCAGGATTTTATTTGTTTCTTTGAGATCCCCATCATTCTTCTAAATTCCAGCGAGTACAAGCCCAGTCGATCCAGTCTGTTGTCATATGTCAGTCCTGCCATTCCAGGAATCAGTCCGATGAACCTTCGCTGGACTTCCTCAATAGCAAGAATGTCCTTCCTCAGACTAGGAGACCAAAACTGCACATAATAGTCAAGGTGTAACCTCACCAAGGCCCTGTATAACTACAGCAAGACATCCTTACTCCGATACTCAAATCCTCTCACTATGAAGGCCAGCATGCCATTAGCTTTCCTCACTGCCTGCTGAATCTGCATGCCAACCTTCAGCAGTTGTTCCACCATGACACCCACGTCTCATTGCACCTCATTTTTTCCTAGACTGCCACCATTCAGATAATAATCTTTAAAAAAAAATTTAAAGGTTGGAGGTTAGGAATTTTGAGTGACATCAAATCCCCAAAGCTTGTCCAGCATACACAGGAATGTAATAGAATACTCCCTACTTGCCTGGTTGGGTACAGCTCCAACAATCCACAAAGCAGCTGCTTGACTGGCCTCATCCTCCCGCTTCAACATTCACTCCCTCCACCACCGACACATAATGGCAGAAGTGTGTGCATTGACAAGATGCACTGCAGTAACTCCCCAAGGTTCCCCTGATGGCACCTTCTAAACCTGTGACCACTACCAACTCGAAGGACAAGGGCAGTAGAGGTATGGAAACATCACCCCCTGCAGATTTCTCTCCTAACATGCACCATCCTGATTTGGAACTACTTCATTGTTCCTTCACTATTTCTGAGTCAACAACTTGGAATTCCCTCCTTAACAGCATAGTGGGTATTACCTAGACCACATGGACTGCAGCATTTCTAGAATGCAGCTCACCAGCACCTTCTCAAGGCAATTTGGCATAAACAATAAATGCTGGACCAGTCAGTAATGCTCACATCCCATGAATGAATAATAAAAGGGTAAAGATGAAACAGAATTAAATCTGAGGTTGAACCAGACATTAACTGTAATAATGTATTCCTATTGTAGTGCAAGAGAGGGAGATAATTCTCCCTCAGCAGTGATACTCCAAGTAGACCTACTTTCAGCATACATAACCTGGAAGCACAAGACTAATTAAAATTCCTCAAACCAATTGAATTTCCATGTCGAGGTCACATCTTAGTGAGGGGTGAGGGAGGAGTTGTGTGAGGCACTCTTGGTCATGAGGGAGTCAGTCATGATTGGTGTCAGAATGGGCTGGTGGGGAGTGGAAGGTACACTGACAGTGCCACTCCAAAAGCTTGAGATTTCAAATAAACCTGTTGGACTATGACCTGGTGTCATGTGACTTTTGACTTGTCCTCCCCAGTCCAACACTAGCACCTCCACATCCTGATAACCAACCACCTCTGATAAGAGCACAACACTGACACTAGGTCAACGGAGGAGAGGGGCAATCTGGAAAGTGCCCAGATCCTCAACATTCCTCTAGCCCTAAAGCTTGAAGATCTCCTAGGTGATCAAAAGCAGTTGTCAGGAGAATGACACACCTTTCCTGTGACATCGGGGAGAATTGAATCAGGTATTTAAGTAGAAACAATGGAGCAAGGCAGGAAAATGACACAATCACTGGGGGAGCCAGTACAGACAAGGCAGGCTGAACAACCTCCTTCTGTGCTGTACCAATTCTGAGATAAGGGGCCTGTGAACTGAGATCCTCATGGCGCTTGTAAGAATGCATCAAACTTAGTTATTGCATTTACTAGTAAAATGGAAGAGAATGTAAATATATTTTGGTCATTGTGAGGAATTGACTGGGTTGCTGGGAAGGTAGTGGATGTTAGCTGAGTAATTGCACACCCTGTTTGTAATGTGTGTACCTTTGTAATTGTTTTGTGCGTGTGAGTGTGTGTGTGAGAGAGAGTGTGTGTGTATGAATGTGTGTGTGTATGTGAGTGTGTGTGTGGGTGTGGGTGTGTGAGAGTGTGTGTGTGTGAGTGTGTGTGTATGTGAGTGTGTGTGAGAGTGTGTGTGTGTATGTGTGTGTGTGTGTATGTATGTGTGTGTATGTGTGTGTATGTATGTGTGTATGAGTGTGTGTGTGTATATGTGTGTGTGTGTGTGTATGTATGTGTGTGTATGTGTGAGTGTGTGTGTGTGTGTATGTATGTGTATGTGTGTGTATGTATGTGTGTGTGTATATATGTATGTGTGAGTGTGTGTGTATGTGTGTATGTATATATGTATGTGTGTGAGTGTGTATGTATATATGTATGTGTGTGTGTGTATGTGTGTGTATGTATATATGTATGTGTGTGAGTGTGTGTATGTATATATGTATGTGTGAGTGTGTGTGTGTATATATGTATGTGTGTGTGAGTGTGTGTGTGTGGTCACTGGTTTGTGACTGGACCTGACCACACTCAGCTCCTTTGTGATGTCAGGAACAACTTGTAGTGGGACTGGAGATAGTGTCCTCTCCTCTCTCTAAGTATGGCCTCAATGTAGAAAAACCTTCACAGCAAAACACCTCTTTATCTTTCATTCTGGCTTACATAGGAAACTTTCAGGGACCCTGTCTGCTTGATCGCAGATCTAGCGTGATGGAAAAAAAGTCGTCCCTTTCAGTTACTCAAGCAACAACAGTCAAACAAGCTCGCTCTTTCCCGAAGGGCAGGACTGGTTAATGATTAGCTTTTAAGTAAATACACTGGGAAAAGGAGTCAACACTAATAGCTCAGCTTAGCTGGGGAGAATTGAGAAGGGGGATTGAGTTACCCAGGTTTAGAGAGGGGTGTTGGCTGTGTCCGCGGTACTCTCTCTCTGCTCAGGGTTGAGCGCGGCGTTCACTGACTCTGAGAGGGTCTTCACCGGTTCCTCGGTCAAGTTGGATGGTCTGTGCCCGCTGGACCTGGACCTGGACATGGACGCGGATCTCCGGGAGACCCTGCGTAAGCTGGTGGAGATGCGGCTGGACCAGCGGTGAAAGAAGCCCATCCTGTCCTTCAGGCCCACGTCGTCCTCCAGTTGGTGCTGGGGCACCTCGATGTTGCCCGTGTACCAGAAGATCCACCAGATCAAGCTGAGGAAGATGACGATGGAGCCGGCGTAGATCAGGAAGTCGTAGAAGAAAATGTTGGCGAAGACGCCGATGAGCAACACGGTGAGTCCCACCGCGTCAAAAGCCACCGCCAGCCAGAAGGCGCAGGCACAGCGTCCCAGGGCAGCTTGGAGTAGCGCCATCGCTCCCCGTGGCACTGCCTCTCTCTGTCCCGGAGCAGGGCACCTCCAGCTCCGCCCGCGCTCACCTGGGCACCCTGTACCTGGCCCACGTCAGCCTGGAGGCGGGCTGTCCCTGTCCCACCCACAGCCAGGCTCTCCTAAACCAACCTGCTCACACATTTCATTACATACCCCCACTCTGGGTGGGGGGGATGTGGAGCTGACATTTGAAGTCAGGCCTCCTGGCTGACAAGTAGGGGCACTACCCCTGCCCCATCATAGCTTCCCCCCTGTAACTGACAGAAGAACAGAGAACGCTGAAGAAACTCAGCAAGAAAACCGGGAACTTGAAAAGTTACACAAAACAAGAAATTGCTGGAGAATCTCATCGGGAAACTGAGGACCCGAAATGTCACACAAACGAGACATTGTTGTCGAAACTCTGCGGGTCTGGCAGCATCTGTGGAGAGAAAAAGCAGAGTGCTGAAAAAGGATCACTGGATCCGCAACTATAAACTGATGCTGCCAGACCTGATGAGTTTCTGGAGCAATTTCTTGTTTTGTGCAACTTTTCCAGTCCTCAGTCTCCTGCTGAGTTTCTCCAGCAATTTCAGGTTGTGTTTAACATTTCCAGTGTCTTTGTTTTATTGAGGACTGGAAGCATTAAACAGATGCCGCCGCCGGTCCTGACGAGTTTCTTCAGCAATTTGTTTTCATCGCCCACTTTCATGCGTTGTGTTGTGGTTTTGAAACACTTAAATGAACCCTAAATTAATTCTGTGGAGAGAAAACAAGAGTTTTCGTTTCGAGTTCAGCGACCTTTTTAGAACTGGATTCCAAACGTTAAGACTAGTTTCCTTGCACAGATGCTGCCAAACCTGCTAAGTTTATCCAGTAATTTCTGTTTTTGTTCCAATTTCCAGTTAGTTCCTTGTTTTATATTACGCAATTCAATTCTACCGTCGTTTTCTCCTCCTAGCAGAATTGATAGCAATTTCCATCAAGGGGATTAGACCCAGTTTGACTACAACTGTTCCATTGAGTGAGCTGCTTTTTTTCACCTGCATGGTTTTCACTCGATTTACCTCAGATCAAATCGAAGTGTGGTTCTTACTCAATTTACAGATTTTCTGATGAAAATTCTGAGGGGTTGTTTTTAATCGGTGTAAGATGTGCAAGTTTTTAGCCTCAAATCGAATAAAGGCAAATTGGATAAAATTTGACAGGATCCAGAGAGCAGACTGTTTACTTCTAATATTATCTGTTCATACTCTGAGTGCTCCCTTCGCGCACACACATCTATGGCTGAATGTTACCGTGAAAGAGCAGAGAGATCAGGTCTTTTCAATGTCTCTGACCAGGAGGTATCCTCCCAACCTCCTGAACTATATGACATGGGAAGAAAAATGCCTCTTATTTTAAATGCAAATTGCAATTTACACGACAAAACTGCCTTTACACATCCAGTCCAATACCACTCCTTCAGTTTGGAAGAGCTAACTCTGCTTTCTCTCCACAGATACTGCCAGACCTGCAGAGTTTTTCTAGCACTTTCTGTTTTTATTTCAGATTTGCAGCATCCACAGGACTTTATTTTTGTTACATATTCTCATGGTCCATTTAGACATCCAATCCTCTGCCTGTGCTACACTCATGATTGATCTAGCATTGATTTTCACATCCCCATATTCATTTTGTTACACGGGGACATTAGAAGCAGAAGGAGGCCATTCAGTCCCTGGAGCCTGCTCTCCCATTCAGTCGAATCAAGGCTGAACTGAACAGCCATCAAAATACATGAACATCAGCCAGCAGCAAAACAGCACAACGAACTCTCCTTAATATCAGTACACTCAGACAATGAAGGCCATCAGTTTAACTGGGACAAGGTAACTATAGTAGTCCAAGCCAAACATAGACATGCATGGGAATTCCTAGAGGCATGGTTCTCCACCCGACTTCAATCAACAAACATATAGAATTGGACCCCATATACAAACCCACATAGATCAAAACTGGAAATGACACTACTCACCATAACGGACTGGACAGTATAAATTCCAAGCAGAGTAGAATAACATTGCTTCATCGGAGGCTCCACTGATGATGTCACCCAGCATAGTGATGAAACATCTGAACAAGAACAAGCCAGCTCTGCAAGCAAGTCAACAACCTCACTCACAACCCGAGCTACAAATCTTTGCCAAAACTCCAAAGGCTGAACTGACTGTCACCTTAAATCCCATACCCATCTGCCCCTGATAACTTTCACACCCTTGCTTAATGTTGTACAGTTACTAGACAAATTGAGAGAGGACTTCAGGAGAACAGCAAATCACAGGGGCAGCAAAGTAGCCCATTGGTTAGCACCAGGGACCCAGGTTTGATTCCATTCTTAGGTGACTGTCTGTGTGGAGTTTGCTCATTTTCCCTGTGTATACTTGCGTTTCTGCTGGGTGCTCTGGTTTCCTCCCACAGTCCAAAGATGTGTAGGGTAGGTGGGTTGACCATGGGAAATGCAGGGTTAAAGGGATAGGTAGGGTGTGGATCTGGGTGGGATGCTCTTCAGAGGGTCAATGTGAACTTGATGGGTTGCTTCCACACTGTAGGGATTCTGTGATTTCATATGCACTTACAGAGAAGCCTTAACACTGAAAGTTAAACACTTTGCTGGGTTACAGAACACCTTATGCAGATTACAGCATGCTGTTACAATTGCCACACTTCAATATCCGTGCATCCCATATTAACTTGTTTTCCAAAGTCTCTCAGAGGCATTTTTGTTTTTTTTTACTCAAGCCCTCTGACAGTATTATTTCTCCATACACCTGCTTTGTTGGCTTTGCTTATTACTTGAATATATGACTAAAGCTTTAAGCCTTCATTAACTTAACCCCCTTCGCTTCTCAAGAATGTCAGCTTGCTATGAATTAGATGTCCTCTGTGGACATATCTAGATATTCAATACTTTCCCATTTTGTTGTATTAGTTTTCATAAATGGTTTCAGCAATTTCACAAATTCAACAACGATATCACACAGTTTACATAGAACACAGCTTGTGATCAGTTATTCCCTTTGTACAGCCTACTGAAGTTTATTTAACGTAGATTACTGATATGGATTAGAGATAGTAGGAACTGCAGATGCTGGAAAATCTGAGATAACAAGGTGTGGAGCTGGATGATATGGATTGTTCACTTTCCTTTTCCAAAGCAAGAAAGCCAACTTCAGTGGAGTAAGAATGAAACTGGGTCAAGTAAATTGGTGTCAAAGGCTGGCAAGAAAAATGATAGCCAAACAAAGACAAACTAAAACAGAAATTGCTGGAAAAGCTCAGCAGGTCTGGCAGCATCTGTGGAGATAAATCAGAGTTAACATTTCAGGTCCAGTGACCCTTCCTCAGAACTCACTTCTGATTTCTGACTTCAAATATTTGCAGTTCTTTTGGTTTTTCTTTAGACAAACAATGAGCTGCCTCAAAGAATTTACAGTCTGGGTACAGTCAGTTATGTTTTTTCGAAAGGGAAAGGTGGAATAAACAAATCCAGAGCTCCCTGGGTTACAAAAGAGCTGGACATTATGATGAAAAGGACAAAGTGCACTTATGGCAGATGTCCAGTAGAAAGTAGGTTAATTAAAAACCAGGCTGAGGGATAGTGGGATAACAAATAAGAGAAGCAAAGAGGGACCATGAAAAAAGACTGGCAGCTAACCGAAAAGGGAATCCTAAAGTTTTCTCAATGAGTACTAAAAGTATGAGAATAGAAAGAGGTGTCTTTACCAAGGAGGGAAATACTACCTAGACTATTGTGACAGTGGAGAAAATACAATCAGAAGGAGGATTTAAAACTGATGAGTAGTTATTGGATAGGGTGTCTGTACCTAAAGTTGATGAGGCTCTGAATTTAGATTAAATCCATCCAAGGATACTGAGGAAAGTGAGAATAGTAACTTGCAAAACCATTGACTATGGCTGAAGCTTTAACTCCTCAATGCTTGTTTTTTCTTAAAAATGTTCATGATCTAGACCTTGATATAAAAGATAGAATTCCAAAATTTGTGACTGATACGAAATTTAAAGCATTGCAAACTTTGAGAAGGATGCATAGAACTTCACAAAGTCATAGACAAGTCGATAGAATGGGCAGAGAAGTGACAGATGAAGTTAAATGTTGAGTATGGTGAAGTGATACATTTTGGTAGGAAGAACATGGTCAGACAGTATAACATAAAGGGTACAACCTTAAAAGTGGTGCAGTAACAAAGGGACATGGGTGTTTATGTGCAAGAATCATTAAAGGTGGTAGGATAAGTGAGAAAAGTAGTTAGCTAAGCATAAAGTATTCTTGATTTTATTAGTAGAAGCATGGAGTACAAAGCAAGGATGGTATATTGAATTTATGTAAAACATTAGTTTGGCCTCAATTGGAGTATTGCATTCAGCCCTGGGTGTTGCACCGGAAGGCAGTGAAGGCATTGGGAAGTGTGGAGAAGAATTTTCTGAGAATGGTTCCAGGGATGAGAAATTTCAGTTATAAAGAATGTTTGGAGAAGCTTGGACTCCTCCTTGGAGAGGAGAAGACTGAGAGGAGAAATGATTAGAGTGTACAAAGTCTTGAGAGGTCTGGACAGAGTAAATAGGAAGAAAACGCTCCCACTCATGAAAGAACATAGAACATCGAACAGTACAGCACAGGAACAGGCCCTTCAGCCCACCATGTCTGGGCCAACCATTCTAAACTAATCTCACCTGCCTGCAGATGGTCTGAATCCCTCTATTCCCTGCCTGATCATGTGTCTGTCTAAATGCCAATTAAACATTGCTCATATATATCTGCTTCTACCCCCTCCCCTGGCAGCACATTCCAAGCACCTACCACCCTCTGTGTAAAAACACTTTCATTGTATATCTCCATTAGACATTTCCTCTCTCACCTTTTTTTTTAAATTCATTCACAGGATGAGGGCATTGCTGGCCAGGCAGCATTTATTGCCCACCTGGCAGTTAAGAATCAACCACATTGCTGTGGGTCTGGAGTCACATGTAGGCCAGACCAGGTATGGATGGCAGCTTCCTTCCCAACAGGACATTAGTGAACCAGATGGGTT